CCCTGACGAAACCATGGGATTTGATATGTTGTGTTTTCTTTTACTATTTCTGTGCCTTATTTTGAGTCCCATATTATCTGATGCCTCTGTGTCTATTTGCAGACAGTTGCATATATATATATATATATATATATATATATATATATATATATATATATATATATATATATTTATTTATATGGTTGGCGGCATCCGGTTTCCGATTTGCCTGTCACTGTGGCCAGACACAGGACGCCTGCGCCTACAGAGGGACCATGTGTGGCTTGCGCTGCACCACCCACAGCTACAACCACACACCCCATATCCAGTGTAAACGCGAAGGAATAAGACCGGGAAGCATGTGGATGGGAGCCACGTTTCAACAACAGAGCCGGCCCACACTCCTTCACGGGCAAACACAAGCACGCTGTAGTTGGGGAATCAAACGCACACAAGGCGGTGGCTGGACCGTAGTCCGCTCCACACTCAGTGCATGGAACCACTCTTCGAGCCTAGCACGGCCACAAGGACCGTGCACCCCGTCCCTTCCAGCAACGACCAACTGTCTCCTGGAGCCAGTATGGACGAGATAGTGGGTAATAAACAGGTAGGCACCTTGTCAACATGCAGATCAAGCGCAGCCACACCGGGGATATCAATCAACAGCCAATCACATGAAATGAAATGTGAAATAAAATTAATACAATAATGCATACAAATACGGTGGAATAACTCTTCGCTAAATTACCATATGAAGTAAGTTGGTTAGCAACGAATCCGCGATAAGCAAAAATGTCCACAAGTTGCTTAAAAATGCTACAAACGCAACAAAGTTACCGAAGATAAGCGCAATTTGCGTAAGCAACGTGGCCAGTGAATAGCAGATTATTCAGGTACGCAGAACAAACCAAAGAAAGTGGAATAAAATTCATCCAGCTTAAAAAGACCTAGTTTAAGTGTAAGTTGGTTTAGCCCAACTGCGGTGAAGAAGCATCAAGAATGCAACATCAGGCTCAACATGGGGCATATATATATATATATATATATATATATATATATATATATATATATATATAATGTGTATAGAATGACACCAGCCGTTGCGCTCGTTGTTTGTTGATTCCACCGAAGCATTTGATACAGTGAACCGGGGTTGTACCATTTTGCAATTTAATTGCTTTGATGAAGAGGCGAAAACACAATTAAGACATGCCGTCGCTCCATTTCTAACACACAACAGGCAACAAAATTGTTTTTCACTTTATGTAAGCAAAAAGATCTTTAAAAGCTGATGAAACTCTCAGGATCCTGCCTTCGAACAAGGAGAGTATGACTGTTCTGATGGATGAAACAAAATAACTTGAAAATACAAGGAATATCGTGAACCACAGTACAACATACCGCTGCTTGGAAACCGATCCAACAGTGGACTTAACGAATAAGATAACTAAGACCCTGAAAAGACCTAAAGATTCGAAGCAACTCACAAAGTACGAGCACGATAGAATGGAAGCTTGTGACTCGCCCGATGCTACGAACTTCCGAAGGTGCACAAAGCTGGTGTACCACTTCGGCCAATCTTGTCACTCCCTCGTACGACGGCCTACAACTTGGCTAAAGAATTATGGAGGCGCCTTAAACATCTGACTAGTGGATCGAAGTATTCCGTGAACAACGCTCAGCAGTTTTTGGAGAAGCTCCAAGGACTGCGAACCGATCATGAAGAAATAATGGTGTCGTTCGACGTTACCGCACTGTTCACTTCTGTCAACTTACAAGTGATGAAAGAAAACATCAGAGAACGCCTGAATGTTGGCGGAGGAATAATTGGGAATCTGACGACTGAGAGTATATGCGAGATTGTGGACCTGTATCACACGACGCACTTTAACTTCCGTGGAGCATTTTCTATGAAGAAGTGAAAGGAGCTCCCATGGGGTCCCCTATATCTGGGCTCATTTTAGAGATCGTCATGCAAACATTGGAGGAATATGTACTCCCAGTCTTGAACCCGAAATTGTGGGTCAGATATCTTAACAACACGTTCGTGGTACTCAAACGCAGCCAGTTGCACATCGCACAAGGCTTGCTGAACGATGTACTACACGGCATTCACTTCACCATGGAGTCAGAAATGGAAAACAAACTCGCTTTCTTGGACGTACTGGAACAGCGGACGGGGAACAACGTGCATCACTTCACAGGAAGGACATGCACACAGATCAAATTCTAAATGTCAACAGCAACCATCCGAAATGTCACAAAATCAGCTGCATAGGAACCTTGTTTCGCAGGATGGAATCGCATTGTAACACTGAGGACGCAAAACGAGAAGAAGCAAACAATCTGTTTGCATCCTTCATGCGCAATGGATATCCACGCAGTTTCATTCGAAGATACATAACCTACAAGACTACAAATGCTACCCATGAACCAACAACAACGGACCGTTTTGCCCTACATCAAGAACGTATCGGAAATGACTGCTTGACTCCTCAAGCCTTACCACCTGTTGTTAGCTCACATACCAACCGCTACTCCCATTATTTCGCTCCGTACACGAGAATACATGCACAAATTTTTCTTCTTAAGTCCTGCGGCCACTTCTGATATCAACTGTGTACCTGTAGAATTTCTGTTTGTGACAAAACAGTGGGTACCTTGTTCTTTTGAGAAAAGAATCGTTATTTATTTAAGTCAATTATTCAGCCAGCATTTTTGTAGACTACACTTAATCATGCTTTCGTTTGCTTATCAGCAACTGCAAGTAAGCTAACGAACTACTTATTAAGCTCCGAGGACTGACAGGCACTTTGAATGATATGGATGGTTGAACAAGTTGTTGCATTCGACTGCGTGTCGAGAACCGCTTTTACGGTAACTTCGGTTGCAACACGCCCTCCATTTTTGATGTGCACTTGCGTTACCTAAGACAGATGCGTCGGCGTAGTGGCTTTGATAGCCAAGCCAATTGCGATCCCTTTAGTGTACAGAATAACAGCTTTCGTACAAAGCGATCGGCAAGTTTGTATGCATTTCTGTGTTCTCGCTAATAAACGACTTGCGTTCACCTTAATTTCCCTAAATTTAACATAAACGCGTCACACGGATTACTTGCATTGCAAGTAAAATAAGCGATTTGAGCAATTGCAAGAAAATAAACCGGAGTAAAATATCATGGTAGGAACGAAAGAAACTAAGGCACACTAACTTAAATTGCCGAGGATTTAGCGCCCAATCATCGGAGCGGCAAATGTAACCAACGCGAAATAAAATGCAAGCAATATAAAGCCGGCTTACAGAACAACCTCTACTTAGTGCCAGCAAGTGGTTCGGGTCAATCCCGTTCCAGCGAACTGTTTGGCCACCGTGTTCCAGGAGAGCTTGCGTTTACGCGTGTCGGGCGTTCTCCTTATAAAAAGCAATAAAGGTCCGTTTAGCAACACTGCGACGTAGCGGATGTGACTCTCTAATCCTAAAGCCAATGCCATTTCACATCGCGGAGGATCTTCCCCACTTCACGAAAGTCATCTAGTTAAAAGAGATATTTGATCCATTCATAGAATGATGAACAACACAATCAGCCATAAAATTCAGTCAAAGGAAATAAAGCAAACACCTTCCAGAGAGTTAGAACACACTTCAGAATTTCACAGGCTTGTATTTTTACCAAGTTCCCTACTTGAACTACAGCTTCTTCAAGTCAAGTGAACAAGTAAAGGTATCGCGCAGCATTTTATAACAAATAAAATTGTGCCTGAGTGTCATAACCACGGTCCGTGGAAACATCGTGGCCAATAGGTCACTCTGGTAGAACAATGAGCATGAAGCTGATCCTATTGCTTTATATACCGGTGCCTTCAAGTTTGAGGCCGTGAGAATGTCGCTCTTGGTCTTAATGATGTTATTTCGACGTTTAGGCTGCAAACTGGGTCCGTCTGAGAAAGCTGCTTATTAAGTTAATAATTTATTAATGTACATTAAACAAACGGCGAATTCCATGGAATGCTATCGTGCATTTGACTTACTTAGCTTAAGACAAGCTTTGAAATTGGTATGTGGGTGACATCCTAATATTTACCGGTGACAAGCACTTTGAGCGACTTTTGAAACTTCATGTTCTGCACACTAGTAACTCTCAGTGAAACACAAGTTTAAACAGCAGCAAAGCCGGTCATTTTAAGTTGGTCATTTGGAAGTGCGCGGGTGGCACACCTCAGCTCAATGTCTTCAAGAATGTGACTTGGTGCGGGCAATAGCTGCAATGCTGTAGCTTGGTTTTAGTTACTTTTAAACGTGACCCAGTCTAAACCGTATTTATAGGCTCAAACAAATTTATACCAAAGACGTGAGTAAGGTAGTAACTAAGTATTTAATAACCTTTATGTCTAAGGTGTACTGCAATATTTGTAGGCAGCATTCAGTGAGGATGCGTGTAATCAGGCGCAGAGTGCAGATGGAAACGATATGGTACACAGCGGACTATATTTGAAAAGACATGAAAAGTTTTGGGCGGATGAAGCTAGCCAGGAGCGAAGTACGATATCAAGCATCCCCCAGCAAATATGAAGTCGAGCGATTTGTAGGCCGTTCTATAAACATGATTATAACAAGAACATATAACAGTCTACTGGTAAGCATTGGAATTGTAAGTAAAAGAAACGGGTTAACTTTTTGGATCTGAACGGATCTCCGATGCTAGATGTATAATTACGTATAGAAGATGATGGCTAAGTCGTGGTTTGCAAGCCAAAATCAAGCCAAATATAAAAGATGTGTAATGGCCAGTACGGTAGAAATGATTAAAAATCTGGATGGGTTGTGGCGTTTGTACTATACAAATTAATTAATTGATGGACAGTGTACATCGCATGGAGATGTTGGAACGGGTTTGCCAAACTTCATAGAAATCAGTTGGTCGAGAATAATGACTAATAAGGCTGCCACATCGGCTGCAGCCCAAAGATGCAAGGTGGATTTTTCTTTGGACACACCGTACATGCCTGAGCGCCATAACATACCCTATCAACAAAGAAGCGTTCAGCGTTTGCGCGGATCATTGGGGCCAACCAGTCAAAAGTAAAGGATTTGGCAAGTAAGAGCAGGGAAAGTAAAACTCCCGCAGCGCACGTAAAAGACGAGTCAATAACCTAAATAAAATATTTGGTTTAGAATTTTTGGTTATGTGAAAATTTTAGCAAACTAATGATATTTTCATATTGGTATAAGATGGAAAGCGGAGAAAAAATGTACGTGTACAAACCAAACTCTTTTTCCATTGCACAAATCATGTAAAGTTAGCATGTATATTAACATCCTGACCAAGGCGGTTGGTCTTTAAAGTCGACATGCTTGTTCGAACAAGGCTTTGAAGTGTATTGATGTCTTTGCACCAATATCCGTAACAGGTTTAAAAAGGTAAGCTTAACAACAGGTAAGGTGGTTAAATGAAGCGTCCCACCTAACAATCAGAAGACGAGGGTCAGATGAATTTTTTCATAAACGCTGGCTTTGAGCACTGGTGGTGGCCATTTCAATCGAGTATATATGTCCTCTGTTGTACCTACACCCTGAAGCTTGAGTTAGTTGGCGGTCTTAGTTGCCAACTTGACGGCAACACTGGCTTCAACCGAAGTAGCTTGGACTCCAGGAAGCGCGTCGGTGTAGGCTTTGTGCGTTTCGCATGGCGATTGTTAAATAAGCAATATATTCTTAGCATTGCGCCTCTCTACTGCTTTTGGATGGATGTCGAGACGGGAATGCAAAAGATCTGTTCGTGGTTGGTGCTAGCTTCAAATTGGTGACATATAGGATATTTCAGCAATAGCGTATGCCAATGTGAATGACTAATATTTAGCAACCGCAAGAGATGAATCGAGATTTGTAGTTTGCAGGCGTTTACTGAGTAACGGCAGGGTTCGTCAAATGTTCCTCACATGTTGTTGTAATAAAAAGCTAGCAGCCACATCGGAAACGTTGTAACATATCGAGGTAAGGACTTGCAGATTGTAATGCATTGTGGAGTCTACGTTGGCGAAAGCTAATTTTAAAGAGTGGAACGCATTACTTCCGCTGACAGCAAAATTGGATTTATAGTTCTTTCCTCTGAAAGACCCGTGTGGAACTTCATAGGTAAAGTAAACGAGGTATAGAACATTGACAATAGTTTACCACTCCATTTAAACACCTTCCTTTTAAAAAGAACCTTGTTTTTGGACCAGCAAAGATATATTTGTGTTTGACTTGCAGCACAGACAGCCTGCACTTGGTAAATAATAGCCAGGAAACCTAGCTAAATCAGTAACAACAAACGCGTTTGCGCGCTAACCTTTACCCCGTGTTAGGATAGGTAGTCAAATTCGATCTACGTAACGCAAGTGTTCATTGTTTACAATGCCAGTGAACAGCAATTTGTCTGGTCAATAGTTGGCAAAGTCTAAATGGTGACACAATAAGAAAATGAAAAGTTAAAAATTTTGAGTGGCGTTTTAAGTATCACCACTTTACGCAGAAACACGTAACAAATGAAGCCGTCACTGCAGTTTTAGTAATGATTGCCTCAGTTAGTTTTATTTGCTTGCTAGCATGTGTGAAGTCAACTTCATCAAAATCGTTTTAACTGATGGGCTGTCAGTGGGACACACGTTGTTTTTAGTAAAACATAGTCAGGAGTAGTAAACGTGTTGAATATCCGACAGCTGCTACAACGACGCCAGTACAGTGAGTTCCTTCGCAACAGGGTAAAAGTACCACCAGTGGTTTGTTCGATTCTCCGATGTCATCGGGCACACTGTGGAAATCCTTGCGTACATACGTGGCAAGTTGGTGGCCAGTAGTCATGATCGAGCAATTGTAATATTTGAAACAAGTCTTATGGTAGTCTCACGATTTCTAAACGTACCTCGGAACTCTTGTAACCCACGGTAATAACTCTGGAGTCTGAACGAACAACTTTAGCCACTATCTTAATGCGGACGTCTAGTAGCATGGGGCAACTCACGTCAACATGCCATCCGAAGTGTCGGAGGAAGTCAATACCGATAACACTGTGCAGTATCACGCTTATAAAGGAAATCAGTTAGGTTGTTTCCAGGTTTTCCAAATGTGCTAATTAGGAATATGCAAACCACCTTTTTCTAACAAGTTAAGTTTATCTGTAACTACAGATTTTCACTTACGCTAAACAATGCATTCCATGCATCGAATGCTCGCCTGCGCTTGGTCTATTAGAGCCATGTAATCGTGAAAAACAACTCTTGTTATCTGTGGTAACCAGCTAATAATGAAAGCCGATTGAGAGCTGGGTTTACGTACTTGATATTTTGAGCGCATGTGAAGGACGCTACTATCGCAATGGTCGAAAGCTTTGCTTTTACGTCTGTGGATAGTTTGTTACGACTTCGCCGGGCAAACCAATTACTTCCCAAGTTGAGTCTGCTTAAAACATATATTTAGGGATGAAACAAGTGACAGGATAAAATGCTATCGCCGCATATGGTTTGTTTGTCTTAAAACGTTTAGCTGATTTAGTGGATCAAGAAACAAATGCAAGTTGCCCTTTCCAATCTCTTGGTGCAGAAGTAGCCACGATATCACACTACAGACTGGAACTTCTGTCTTACTAGTGTCAGTAAGAACTAAAACCAAACCGAGGATACATTTTATTATTCCGGTCCTCCAGTAGCTAATAAATACCATCCTTACGCCTTTACCCTATCCATTTCAGTGCCTCTAGTAAACCTGTTATTGATGATGAGTACTGAATCCGGATTAATAACTTCCCCTGATGTTGTCCTCTATGAAAACTGAAGATGAACTTAACAACCCACAGCTTATTAAACAATCAGAGCTGAATGAGTTGGTACGTAACCAAGATTTGCACAACTTCAAGGCTGTGTTGCTGACATGTCGGCGGCAGCAATACCACTTGCTTACCAAAAACACAAAACTTACTAAGTACACAAAGCGAAGTGTTAAGTATTCCGGTTACTGTGACAAGAGACATATATTCTTACTGTTCCGACGTGAAAGCACAAATGAAGGAGTTTAGCGTGAGGCATGTTAATGCTAAATCGCATTTATTCATCCACTCTTTCAGAAATAGTCTTGAGGTCCACGATAGGAATGTGTACCCAAAGGTGCCTCTGTTGGATGCCACCAATATGAAGGAGATTTACGAAGTATGCAACAGATGTTTGCTGCACTGAGCTATGACCAGAGCTATTGGAACAGCTGTGTTTACGTCAAAGTCATTAGACTGCTAATGAGTATGCAAGCAGGCATTAAAAAAGTTTGTTGTTTCCTGTGCTTATGGAACAGTACAGCAAATCAAAAGCAATACGAAACCAAAAAGTGGCCAGAAAGGACGAAGTCGGCTGCAGGCAAAATGAGAGAAAAGCGTAAAGCACGTTTGCAAACTGATCCTATCTCTTTACTACCGCAGCACACCAAGGCTGATTTAATTACAACTTCGTCAGATCCATTAAGCCAGATGGCGTTGCATTCCAATACCTGAAACAAGTGTTCCGAATAGTATTGATGCAAAGCTCATAGCAGGGCAAAATATGGAACCTGATATTTGCCAATTATTGGTAGCCAATGCTTTTAAATACCAGTTGTCTTTATTTTATTTAGAAGGGTAGCGAAATTTTTAAGCAGTTTGTACAGGATTTTTGGACAAAACGGTGGCAGCGCAATACAAAGACAGCACAGAAAAGCTGATTGAGGGTCTTTAGGACGGTTGGTGTTTGCATGTCAATATAGATGCCTTATTTGCATACTACTTTTACATTTCCCTGAGAACATGTGACCTGTAAGCGAGTTGCATGTTGAACGCATCCACTAATATATTTTTGTCATGTAGCATCACTACCTTGGCAAATATACGTCTTCTATGAGGGATGACTTTCGCTTGTTTTTGCCTCGCGTGGTAACCAGTCTCTGCAAGTACTGACCTAAGCAAACTCATCCTTTTTCAATGCCAAGCTGCGGTCAGTAGTTAGCTGCGCGTTGGTGTTGATTTAAACGTGCTTGCCACCAAGAAGCCTAAAGTATATTTTGTGATACAGTATATTTACACACAATTCGTACGACTTAGATTTGACATGGATAAAAATAAGCGCGCGCCTATAAGTATTTAACTTGAAATCATATGTCACGTCGAAAAATATTACTACGCGTGAAATAGACGTTGCAAAACCACAATAGGATTACGGATGCCTTTGTTCATTTTCGTGCAGCGGATGCTGAATTCAAGGTATTTGGTGAGTTGCTACCTCGGATCGGTAGAAATGACGGTGATATTTTTGAAACTATATATGACAAGACAAAAACAGACGTGAGCCTATTGCTTACACTTAAATATGTGCCCTTTGACTGTTTTGCAGTTGGCTAGTTTTTCGTGACAAAGGAACCTGTCCCGTACCCGTTGCCTACCGTCCGCAAAAATTTGTATCGGAAATGAACGCAAAACTGATGCATTTTCTTCATGTTGCTTTGAATGAGTCTTACAGTCAAGCGCAGACCAATTGCAAACGAATTTAGTGGGTACACATTAGAAATGCTGGCAACTGATGTCGGCAGTGTATAGACTACCCATGAATTAAATTTTATCCAACATACTAGTGCTGAAATTGTCAACCTGCTGTCGATACATGATCACGTGTCCACTAAGATGGGACACAGATTTGCAGAGTACTATCAAGCGGACCACTGGGTCACAGTTACTATGATCCTCTAATGTTACAATACATCTTATGCGGTATGTGTCGCACCATAAGAGAACAAAAGGAATACTGTCGCGCACAAGTAATTTGCAACTATAAAAGAGGCATCTTAGGCCTTCTTATCTGGACACCCCCAAACATTCGTTCATAAAAATTTTACAATTGCACTTAGCACACTGGTGAAGTACGCATCGATATGGAAGTGCTGCCGCACACAAATAATGAGACTTCACTACTGTGGATCCGAAAAAATAACTGCTTCTCTTGAATTCTGCAAGAAGAGGTAAGTCGCACTTTGACCTAACGCTAAGAGCCTTCGGAAGGCTCGACTCATT